AATTAATACTCGATATCCCAACAGCAAACCACATTAGTAAGATCAGCATTATTTTTTCTCAAAATTCTATTATAGATGTACTCTAACCCAACTATAAAACAGTTATCCTAATTCATATCCCTTATGTGTTTACAAGATTTTAGGCTTATAAATGAAAGTCAAATTTGATTAAACCAACCCGTTGTTTCAACCTAGGCGTCTTTGCGGTAGATCGCGGCTGCCGTGTAGATTCGCATGGTGTCTTGCCACCAGAAAATGCAGGTGAATCAGCATTGGAACGTTCTGAAGACCTAGCCCTATAATATGATTAATGAACTAACCAAATTTTACAATTTATTAGACTGCACCTTTGTCGAACACCACCCGGACTAAACAATCCTTTTAAAGCCGGTCTCTGAGGGGTAGTATAAATGCTTCGAGGCCTTGTACCACGTTCGTCTAAAAAGACGAGAAAACTAAATATACATTCAGGTTTCTCAACAATACTTTGCAAAATAGTACGATTTTAAGCGTGTGTGATCATATGTCGATTTGTGTTTATTTATTAGTCCAAGAAATTCTTTATTGTATTGCAAAAGAGCATAGTATCAATAAACGAATGTCTTTCACCTATTATTTTAACCGGTCCACGAACCCTTACACTCGCTGCTCCAGTACGATAATTCTCCTTATCATATCCTGGCTCGCAGCCGAAGCTCCCCTGTAAATGAGAGTATTGCTGACACCGAGAAATCAAGACTTGCATCTTTACCTGCCCTCGTGCAGAAGACTTTTGTACTGGTCTGTACGGAGTTGAGTTAGCTGTTGTAGGAGAATTGTAAGACAATTTCTGTTGAGGAGACCTTCCAGTGCATATGGTAGGAGTGTTGAAAATTGCATTGATATACGAAGTCTTCTAAATAATTTATGACATCAGAACATTTCCTCAAGAAAGTTTAATATATACTAACATCAGCTCCTCTACCAGCTATTCTCTCCCTTTCCTTGCCATTACCATGATCATGTTCGTTATGACGCCATAGTGCATCAAATCGCTCACTGATACTACTACCAGAGCGGAAGCTCCGAGGTGAGAGATCGATGTCGGGACTGTCGTCAAGACCCGAGAGATCAAGATTGTGTTCAAGAGAAGCATGAATGGTTGGAGATGCAGCTACACGTGACTCGCCCTTAATTGGAGCAAGCATAGTCACACGAAAGATGTGTTTGATTGAAGATGTATTTTCGTGAAATAACAAAGGGCTTAGAATGAAACAAATAATCTTAATTAAGAAGTTAAGATAAGAATATTAATCTAACAGAGCATCCAAAACTGCAAATATCTCGAACACCACTCAAAATTTAAGCATTCGAGAACAAACCATTTTGGGCTTTGGAGGTGGTAGCGCTATTTTTCTTTTACGTCCTTTTTGTTGTAAAAGCAGGTAGTAAGTAGCTGTGAGATAATCAAATTTCCATTCCTAAAACATATTCAAGAGAATGCGAGAAAGTAACAGGTTGAAGGTTTTAGAAGAGTGTCATACAAAAGAAAAACCTTGATCAACTCAGTCATCTCAGCTAGAGACTTTCTATGATGAAAGGCTAACTCGGTAGCTACTTCTTCGTCGACCACGTTCCTCTAGAAAATCAGCTACAGCCAGCACATAGCCGGTATCATCGTAAATTGCTCAACTTACATCATAAATGCTTGTCCATTTAAGCTTTTGACTGTATTTATGATTAATCCATGGATGATCAAGTAACTGTTTAACAGTTATGCGGTAACGAGGGTTCACCTGAAAAGGTGTGTCTGCGAGAGAAAGAGAGTAAAATCATGTTTATTTTCACCTGTAACATACTGCGAAGTAGCGTGCGACTACTTGGACTCAGCCATTCTGGCTCATGATACTGTCCTCTCTGCAATCAAGGTGAGCAAGATTCTTTTATTGTGCTATCACTAAACGCCTACAACCAAAGAATTGTCGATACTATTCCACAGCGCTCAAAATTTGGATTAGTTTAAAGTCGTAAAGGGTGTAATTTGACATGGTCAACATGATTATCATACTTTTGCGCGCAAGAAACATCTCTAACAAAGTTAAATAGGATGGAGGTCGAGATCACGGACTTGTCTGAAATCCAACCTGGAAGGTTTTTATATGTTGATCAAGAAAATAATAAGTACTTTACTCCGTAGAGCCTGTTGTACCAGATAGACAATAGGCACCCCTACCTTCGAAGTGACACAGCGCAATTTATGTACAAGATGTGGCCTTAAAGAGGGCCACTAAGTCTATGAAAGGTCTATCACAGAACAGGGTGCAACTCGACTACCTGCTTCCAAAAGTTGTAGGCGGGCTTTGAAAGCCTGCCAAACAGCATTCTTCAGAAGAGGAAAAACCCTTTGAGTAGTCTGCATAGGCATTTCTGCTCAACGACCTTGTTGAATTTCTACCAGGAGCTTAATGTACTGAATTTACGCGCCAATGGCAGTCGATAGCGAGATGGGTTTAACCGTGCGGAAAGGGGTGTCCTGTGGAAAACCTGCTAGCAGTTGCTGATAGCGTATTTCCAGGCCTATACTAGAGTATAAGCCACACTACGGTCCATTATTGCGATAGCTTACTGCGAACTGAATGAAATGCTGCTACTCTTTCATGTCTTCTAAACACCCACTGGGGTAGAATACCGCGTCCCACTGTGCTTCTTCTTCGTAACGCTTTTCTCCTCAATTTCGACATGTCCTGTTTCTCCAGACTTCATGCGCGTTCACTGACGATAAGATATCCGATGCCAAAGTCGCACTTTTTCTTGGTCTACGTTATGCAACCACAGTAGTGCAGAGCAGTTGACCACAGGTAAACTACATCCGAAAGAACGAGGCATATTTGAAATGAAATGAGGTTATATCTCTATTTCGCAGGCACTCCCTCCGTTGCACTTCATTACAAGCCGACAAGAGGACCCCTAGGCATTCCGAAGTCCAATTGATCTAAATCAATCGTTAACGCTGTTTTTGTATTTTTCTT